AAACATGCTGTGATGAACAAATAATATATATGGCTATAGTCTCTTGACATACACACGTTATTTTAGAAGCCAGCAAGCAAATCATTGAATTAAAATCCTGATTAAACAATGGGTCAGGCCAATGACATATGCTTATGGAATCAGTGCCTATGGACATTTCCAAAAAGTAAAATCAATGACTTTGATTTTGGTAATTTGGAAAGTAGCCCTCTTAGAAGCATGAAACTAGACAGAACTAATCCTTAATGGTCTCTTCCTCCTCTGTAGGAAGGGAATTCTGCCTCCTTTTTTTAGCTTCTTCCCTCCTGATTGATTTTTCTGCTACAGCCTACAAAATCTACCTCAGACAACACATGCTTTGGCCTGTTCAGGAACCTCCAATGTTACCAGATGAATTAAAGCCACACTTCTCTCCCAGGCTCTCAGGGTCTTCCATACACCTGCCACTTCACCTCTTCATTTCAGCAATCCCCCGCCAACACCCATTGCAGCCACCAGCCCCATGTCCATCCACGAGACTCCTGCCCCTGCTGGTCTGAGACCCCTCCCTCCCTTCTCCCCGCGGTCCACCGCACCCTTTCCAGCCTAGCTCAGGTGTGCAACCTCCCCTGTGGGCAGTAGTCCATGCCGTGCTGAGAGCTTCAATCTTTATATTCCTTTGAGTGTATTGCTTGTACTATTTTGCAGTTTTGGATTTTGTTTTGTTTTTTTTTACTCTGATTCCCTATTTAGTTATCCGTTACAATTTAGCCCATTAATGTATTCATGAAGTGATCCCTGTAAGAGGTGAAACTAACACCCATTTTGCAGGTCCCCCCATGAGCAGGCCTTACACAGCACCTTTTGGCAAGGAAGCTCACCTGCTTAGTGGTCAGTCCATCTGGCCCCTAGAGATCCACCCACTTCACAGTCCTGCTTTAATTGCCTTGGAAGGGCTTTTTTACTAAGATTATGAGAAGACAACCAAAAAAGATAACTTACAAAGGAGTGATTTCACATTATGGGCTATGGGGTAAACTAAGCATTTAAATGATGCATTTAAATTATACAACAAACTGGATCAAAAGTGTGTTCTCTGGAAAATATATAGATATCATACATAACCACAAACAGTGTTCAGCTGTCCAATAAATTCAGTAAGTAGTGGGTTAGGCAAACAGCTTTCCATACTCCAGCATTTCTCAAAGTCTCATAAGGTATGCACTGAGAATCTCCCTGAGTGGGTTGGCGTATGCTACATCTCTACAGCTGAGGTGACCACAGGACCACTTTCCTATAGCACAATTTGTGGGCATGCGTTCCAAGAACTCATCTGGCTGACACTGGTGTGGTTCAGGTGTTCCCCTCCAAAGCCGCCTCGTCAGGATCTCCCTTAGGACTTCTGCGAAAGGCCACTAAAGGACTGTTTATTTTCTGTTCCTGAGTTTCTCTGTGTTTCGTTTCTTGGTCTTGCTGCGTGAAGGCCCCCTGCTCCTTTTCCGCTCCTCTCCCAGTTTTCATATTCAGTGTCGAGCCACAGCACACTGCAGAGAATTCTTAGTCTCTCTCTGTGCTGCTCAGTTTGAATTCCACTTCAGAGGGGCAGCCTCTGCACTGATGAGCGCCATGAGCTCTGGAGTCCCCCAGCGTGGCTTTCCATTATAGTTGCACCATTTACCAGCTATGTAAGCTGGCGATATTTCTTAAATTCTCAGTGCCTCATCTATAAAGTAGGAACATAACACAGTTCATAAGATTTTGTGAAAGGTTAATCTATGTAAAGTGTTTACCCAGAATTAGCTTCTAGCGCATGCTATCAGTATTAATTTCCAGTACCGTCTTCAGTTGTTCTGTTTCCCAGCATAGCTATGGCTGTGACTGTTAGCTATTGAAAGGGTCCATGTAAATGCTAAAACATCAGGAAGTCTGACTCATGACTTTTGAAAACTGCTTATTAACTTGCCTGAGTTCTGTTCTTTGGTGGGAAAAAGAAAGAAGAGAAATTGAGAGAACGAATTCAGTGCTGTTGGTGAGAAGAGAACAGCCTCTAGACTGAGTTATCTCAGCGGTATTCCCTGTTATGCTGTGTCAGGAGTCAGCAAACTTCTTCTGTCCAGGGTGTGAGTAAATATCTTAGCTTGCATGGTGTAAGGTCTCTGCAGTAACTACTCAACTCTGCCATTGTACAGGGAAAGCAGCCATAAGCAGTATGTGAACAAACGGACACCATTCATTACCTTCATGTAAAACTTTATTTACAAAACCAGGAAGCTGGGTGAATGTAGCCCGAAGGCCTTACTTTGTGACCTCACTCTACTGTTATCAACCTGAGTTTTCCAGCCCTGGCATTTGAGTAGGAGCTCTAGGATGTCTCTTTCTACTAAATGTGAATAGGAAGCTGACCTCTGAGGGCCAGTAGAGGGGAGAGAAGCTGGTGCAAGGAAAAAGCCAATTAGCTTTGGAGACCAAAGTTGAGAGAAGTGCAGGGAACAGTAGCACAGTCCTGGAGACATGGAACCTTCTGGATTATCTTTGCCAAAGACTTTTATGGTTATATCAGCCAGTAAATTCCCATTATTGTTTCAGCCAAGTGCTGGCAGGTTTTCTTGTCATGTGCAAACCAAAATCTTCTACTTATATAACATAGCTTTATCTCTATTAAATACATCAACGAACACTTTATGGTGAATGCTTTTGGTGTTGTTTGTGTTTTATATCTAGTTAAAACTTTTGCTGACTTTCTCAGAAAAGGGAATTTAACAACCAAAGCCCATTCCAAAATGAATTTGGAGCCATTCAACTAAAAATTTCTAAAACACTTGTCATTTCTAAAGTGCTTGGGGACATTATCTTTCAAGTATTTATTATTCCTATCTTATTTATAAAGCTCTCTTGCATTTCAGTTATATTGCTTCTGGCTCTTTTGTTATTTTACATAATAAAAACAAACAAATTCACCCATGAGTCTATAGCCTTCAAAGGTCTGACTCTAGTTGAGAAGGATTCTAAGGCAATCCTTTTGCACTGCCTTCATAAATCAAATTCTTCTTGTAAGATTTCCTTAATGCCTCAGAGTCAGCCCTAACCAAAGCTCTTGGATGCTGTGGTGACAGTTTTCTCTCTTGTCTAGAGCAGACAGGGAGGTGCAGGGCACTCAGGAAAACTGTCTGGAAATGTTTTCCAAGTCCACCTAGAGACTGTAAATCTTGAACCCAAGAAATGGTAATGGCCCTACCCATAGCATCTGCCCCAGAGATGAGGACCATGCCTGTGAGCTCTCTGAGTGTGTGGCAGGAACACTACACAAGGACATCACCCCTGCTCACTTACAGACACGTACACACACACTCAGACATACCCCATGCTCATGGAATCTCACTGACCTGCTTATCACCACTGGAGGATTCACAAGAAAACAGTCCTTATACTGATTAGACCCAACATCCTGTATGGACATTAGCAATGGGGTTTTGATTTCGATCATGCCTTGAGTCTGTTTTGCATGCTGCCCTAACAAATTACCATCAACTTGGTAGCTTAAAACAATGCAAATGTTTTTATCTTACAGTTCTGTAAAGTCTGACATGGGTCTCACTCACTGGACTGAAGTCAGGACGTCAGGAGGGCTGCATTTCTTCTAGAGGCCCTAGAAAAGAGTTTCCTCATCTTTTCTAGCTTCTAGAGGCTGCCCCCATCCTTGGAACACAGCTCCTTTCCATCTCCAAAAACAGCCGTGGGGGACTGAGTCGCATCGAATCACTCCAATTTATATTCTGCCTCCCTTTTCCACTTGAAAGTTTCTTGTGATTATTACATTGGGTCCCTGTTGCTCCTGGAGGCCGGGGTTCCCTGCCTGTCCCCTTCACAAGTTCCCTGTGAAGTTAATGAGACTGAATAAAGGCAAGGACAAGAAGTTGGGGGCTTACACGGGGGTTATTCTCACAGCAGTAGGTACTGGTCTGTCCCGCCCCGCTCTCCCTAGCTGCTCTCTGCTCTCCCCTACCAGCGGCCCTCCTCTCCCCTCCCCAGGCACCAGGAGGGACTCTGTGAGCGGGTCCCTGGTGATTGGCAGATGCCTGACCAGTTACGTACCAGGAACTGAGGCAAGGGGAGAATGGGTGTTTCCTTTCCACCCCTCCCCTGGACCAGCCGCTCTGCCACCTGTAAACATCCCATAAGCGTGCAAACAGGGTCTTATCATATACACAGTAGGCGTTGTTAAGGCCAGGTGGGAATCCTGAGCAGAAACTTCCATTTGCTCCACAGTCTCCCAGATAATTCAGGATAATCTCCCCAACTCAAGGTCAGATGATTCGCAACCTTAATTCCATCTGCAATCTTAATTCCTCTTCACCATGTAACCTAACATATTCATAGGATTCAGAGATTAGAATATGGACATCTTTGGGGCCATTATTCTTTCTACCACAAGGGAGATACTTAAGGAAAAAACAAAATATATTGAATTACAGATGATAAGAGCAATGGAGATAAATAACACAGGAGTGGGAATAGGGTATCCTGGACATGTGTGTTCTTTTACATAGATGGATCAGAGAGGGTCTTATGATTAGGAGGCATCTGCATAAAGATCTCTAAGAGATAAGGAAACTGTCCATTAACATATCTCTGGTGGAGGCTTTCCCAGCAGAGGGAATGTGGGAGGAACAGCAGAGGGAGAGCCCCAACTTCCCTTGTCCTGGGGTACTCAGTCTGAAACAATAGGTGCAGCAATGTGATAAGCCAGCAGTAAAGATGTGTTAAAAAAAAAAAAGTAAAAAGTATTAGTAGAAAAGAAGAAATAACTTTTTGTTGCAAGGCAGTCAGAGAACTCAAGGTTAAGAGTGTAGTTCTGGGGTCAGATTCACAGAGTTGGAATCCAGGTTGTGTCATGTATTGGCATGACTGAATCTTTGAGCCTCTGTACTCTTCTTACCTGTGTAGCCAAAGCTGTCTGAGGTGAGAGGGAATTGGAGAAGACGACCAGGCCAGAGAGGGAATTGGTAAGCATCATTTCAGACTTTGTAGGCAATTGAAAAGGACTTTGCATTTATTCTTTGCACAAAATGGAGGTGTTTTTTCCTTTGATATGTAAAAAAACAATTTATTTTAAAGTCATTTTAGATTTGTAGAATTGCAGTGATGATCCAGAAAGTTCCCATGTACTTTTCACCCAGCTTCCCATCATGTTTACATCTTATGTAACCATGAGACTAATCAAAACTACGTAATTAACATTGGTACAAAACTAGTAACTGAACTACAGACTTTATTTGTATTCCCGTGGCTGTTCCATAAATGTCCTTTCATGCGTCAGCATCCCATCCAGGCCCCATGCTGGACCGACTCATCCTGTCTCCTTGGTCTCCTCCCATCTGCGATGGCTGCTCATTCTCTTCTGGTTTTTCATGACCTTGACATTTTTGAAGAGGGCTGACCAGGTATTTGTAAAATGTCCCTTAACTTGGGTTTGCTGATGTTTTCTCATGATTTGACTGGGAATCCCACAGAACTGAGGTGTCCTTGTCACATCTCATGTGGAACATGATGTCACCGTGCCTTAGTACTGGTGATGTTAACTTTGATCACTTGATAATGTAGTATCTGCAAGATTTCTCCACTGTAAAGGTACTCTTTTCCCCTTTTTCTTCTGTCCTTGTCTCTATACTTTGTTCATAGAAGTGAATTCTAAGTCCAACCTTCAAGGAGAAGTGAGTGCCACCTCCTGGAATAAGGAACATCAAAGAACTTGTAAATACATATTAAAATTGCCATAATAATTAATGAGTATTTTGAAGGTGCTATGTTGGAGCTATGAAAATGTCCTCCTTCTAAAAGTTTTGCCCTCTGATGTTAGCATCTAACAGTGGATCCTGACTGGAGCAAGTAGTGGTCCAATGGTGATTTTCTATTTCCTTCCTTCCTACTCTGTTTAATATTTGGAATTCTTCTGTCAAAGATGTGTCCCTTCTCCCCTATTTAGTTACTTGTTTATTTATATCAGTAGAGACTCCTACATAATTATTTTGCTTATTGGATTATAATCCAATACTGTCATTATTTTTTCTCTAATTGTTCTGGCTTTGGACATTGGGAGCTCTTTCTATCCATCTGATACGCCTACTTGTCATTTGATTTTGACAAACCAAGATCTCGGTGCAGGTGTATCATTGGAGGGATTTGGGCAGAAGAGAGATACACTCTCACTTGCCTGTTTAAAGGATCTAACGGCTGGGTTGAAAATAACCACGTGGGGTCACACAGTTGTTGCAATCACCCTTGACTGGAATCAGAAAAGTGAAGTAATCCCCTCACTAGGAGTGCCCTGGGGCCTTCCATGAACACCCCTCAACCACAGCTTCTTCATTCATCAGACTTCCCCTCTGCCCCACTGTGTCCCGGGCGCCGTGGTACCTGCAGATGATGCCAAGGTGGAAGAAACCTTCCCTCCTCCTGGGTGCTCACAGGCTGGTACAGCAGGTGCCCCAATGCAGGAAGCCAGGAGTAAAGATTCGTAAAAGGTAAAGTCTAATGTAAAAGAAGGAATAACTTTTTAATGGAAGGCAGGCAGAAAATGCCAGGCACAAGGTTAAGAATGTAGTTCTGGTGTTGGATTTAGAGGGCCTGCACCCCGGCTCTCCCATGGATTAGCTGAAGGCTGAGCCTCAGTTTTCTCACCTGGATAGGATGAGGGCCCCGCGGGTGCAGGAGACCTCGCTGCCTCCACCACACGGCTTTAGCTACATCCCACGCTGCCTGGTTCCCCTGTGGCTGGGGTGGACACATGTCAGGCTGTAGCCAGTAGCATGGGGACAGGAGGTGCCACTCAGAGGCCTGGCCCCTAAAAAGTCCCTTTGGTCATCCACGCACTCTCTCCCTTCTATGCAAAAGGCTCTGGGATGGCGGAGCGCCGCACCCACTGCTTGAGGGCCAGCGGCCCAGGCTGACTCCGCCTGAGATCGCCTGTCTCACTGCAATTCTGGGACTGCTTACGGCAACTGTTAGCCTGTCCTGACGGGCGCCTCTCCTCGAAAGGTGCTGGAACACCGAAGCGGAATAAAAAGCACAGGATAAGCCCTCAATAACCGATAGCAACGTTATCGTTGCCGTAATATAAAGAGCGGGACACACTACGGAGCCAGGTCTTGAGGGGATTTGTTAGTTGGACTGTTGCCGAGAGGAGTCAAGGGTTTTAAGCAGAAGGTAAACAATGACTGGTAAAAGAAAGGAAAGGGGGGAAGGTGAGAGATGGTGTACACAAGGAGGGAGGGGAAAAAACTGACACGACATGAAAGGAAGCAAGAGCCGTCCAGTCGCGGGCAGGGCGGCTGCCCGGGAACGTCTCCGGCCGCAGAGCCCAGCCTGTGACGCAGTCCGGGGCAGCCGAGCGCGCTGCGCCTGCAGACAGCTGCTCACAGGCTCGCGGACGTTTCACTCTCGGCTGCTGCAGAGCCAGATGGAGACACTGGAGGCCTGGCTTTTTCATTTGTTTTAACCTGCTGGCAAGATCCTTCCTGGACACTTGCTTTTACTATTTGAAATGTGTTTCTTTGATCACCTTCCGGTCACAGGAACAGTCTTAATGGAGTGTGGGATCTAAAAGGGAGCAGAAAGCTCCACAAAGGAGAAGCCAAGCAAAAGACAGAGGGGGTCTTTGTCTCTCGGGTTGTCAGGGAACAAAAGACAAGTGTGCAGAACAGGGCTGCCAAAGCTGCAAAGGACGCTTTTCCTTCGTGGCTCCTCTGAGCAGCACAGATGTTTCCCTCAACATTGGGGCTCAACCTGTGGCCATGCAAGAATTTTTCTTGGTGCAAATCTTAATACCCAGCCTGGAAACTGAGGCAGCCCTGACATCTTTAGCACCATCATCAAATTGTCTGGGCACCCTCCTGGCAGAGGAGACCCCTGGTGCCTAAAAGGGTACTGCCTATTTCTCTCTTTGCTAACCATAACTAAAGTTCACTTAACCAAAAAGTCATTGTTCGGGGGCCCCTGTAACCACTGTAGAGCTTTGAAGATGATGGTTCAGTTATAGCTTTTGCTTATGATATGCAAAGGAACCATATACACAACCAGCAAGTTGACACCAAGCTGATTGGACCAAACCAACCTCATTTAATATAGAAATCTTATCTGGCAGCAAACCACGGATCAGAAAATATATAGTGGTGGGTGTTTCCAGTCAAAAGGACCACCTGTGCCTGAAACACAGTAAATAACTAAAACAAAGAAAACCAGATCCAAATAAAATTTGGAACATGTGAAATTTATGAACTCTGCACAGTGAGATGTTTTAAGTTCCTACCCACAAAATTCTTCTGCCCAAATCTTCCCTGACCACTTTGTCTTGACAGTTTTCCAGAATTCCTGTCTACCCGTAAGGATTTGGAAGCAATGCTTCCTGCCAGAGGAGCCCCTTTGACCAAACGCCCACCACATAGGTTTCTAGAAGAGCCCATGTGTATACATTTAAGCGCATAAGCCCATCGTGCCCTCTTCCTGGAAAGGAAAGCAAGTCTACTTAGGTGTACCTGTAAATCAAAACCTACTCTCTGCAGTGTTCTCCAGGACATGCCAGAACAAAACCCAGGCCGGCTTGGCTTGCAAAAGGGCTGAGCACACAAAGAGATCTATTCATGTCTTTGGACTTCAAGAGAATCATATGGTCTAAGGTCAACAAGAGGATTGCAGCCTGATTTCAAAGATTAGTTTTTAAAGGTACAGTTCACAACTAATAGGAGGAAACGTCCGATCTGATTGGTGGTCCTATCTCTTTAAGATATGCAACTGGCATTATATAGTAAATTGGCTGTAAAATCTAATAAAACATTTTAAAAGCCGCCTGTACTATAGGATTTTATTCCCAGGATGTACTGTGGATGACTCCCTAAAATGTCCACAAATGTCATCAATATTTAACCACACAAACTTTTTCCATGTCTTAGCTGGCATGGTTTTTTGGCAGGAAATTTTCTTCCTTCTTTCTTTAGCTTCTTCCTTCTCTCTTTCTCCTCTTTCCCTTTTTCTTCTCACTACTACCTCCCTTTGCTTATTTGTCCCTTTTCTTATGAAAGAAAAAGAGTACTATCCTAACACTTATTGAGCACCTATCTTATCAACAACTGTTTTCTGTGGATTATTCAGCCACCATAAAGTTTCCTTTCCTTGGCATAATCTGAAAAATCATGTCATGCTTGCTGTGAACTCCTTTTTAATAGAGATTTATTTTTTAAAGAAACAAAGGTAATTTATTAAGTTACTGTTTTAAGATGTCCCAAGTCCTCTGGATGACTAAATGTCCAATCATATTTAAAACTGCCACACTTTGTGATTTGCAAAGTATACATTTTCTGGTTTTGATAAAAAAAAAATGCACACATACACATGCACACACATGTTCTTTCTGTTCGTTCTTTAATTTGCATTTAAAGTTTTATTGGTGGTGTGTTTTCTCTCTCTCTCCTCAGAGGACTTGATTAGCCCCTGGGAATAAGGTGCAGCTTAAGCAGTCTAAGTAAAGTGGCTTCTCTGCCCTTCTGAACGCCACTCTCTGACCTTCCCCAGCTCCTTGCCCAGCCGCCTCCCTGCTCTCACCCACTATCCAACTTAGCTCCCCGGGCCTGAGTTCTACAAACCTCTGCTCTGTGTTACACGTGGCAGGAGCAGAAGAAGGGAAACTGGCCTAAGGGAGGAAGAGGCCTGTAATTGCTCAACATTTTTTCCAAAGGAGTATCTGTTATTCCTTAGATTAAATATCTATAGGAGACAGTTACTCTAGTGGAAACAGGTTGAATTTATTTAAAGGATTACCTGCCATCTTAGACATTAAGAGTGTCCCTTTTATACAACCATTTGTACCTGGACACCCCTGGCCTCGCCTGGCCTGTTCCCCCTGACACCTTCCCAGGCAACCCACAGCCTCATAGCAGATGGGAGCTGATGTCCCGTCACAGACCTGCTCCTCCAAAGGACAGAGTGCTCTGCATTCTTTTCCAAAGATTTCGTTTGCTCTTCTCCGTGTGTTTCCATGCCAGTCAATTCCTTCCTCTTATGCATCATCAGACTTTCCCTTAGGGAGGAGTGAGAAGATTAACCTTGCTTCTGGCCAAACAAACTTCCAAGTAAACAAAGTTACGCTCTTGACCAAAGTGGCTTCTAAGGTGCACTTGGGGAAGTTCACTTTTTCCTGGTGGCATCATGCCCCTCGTTGCACAGGTGCTCGCTCTCCTGGAGCCTTTGATGATACTGACTCACACCTGTTGAGCTGTTTGCTCCCAACCTCCTCAAAAGTAAGAGGAAGGCACTGTTTTAGCCTCATCTCATCATGAGAAAACTGAGTAACAGAAAGGTTAAGTAGAGTGCAGCCCATAACTGATTGAAAAACCTCTTTTCCCCAGCCACACCCCAGCTTGTGCCAGGGGTTCAGGGAGTCTGGCCTACAACCTTGAGCCTGCAGGGCACCACCACCACAAGCTCAGGGAGCAAGGTGCACAGGTGAGGGGGAGGCAGCAAAAATCAGCATGGCCTGTATTGAGCCTGGTCCTGAGCTCGCACATGTGTCCACTCATTTTCCAGAGGGGGAGGCTGCGGCTCCAGATCGCATACCCGAGGCACAGAGGGCTCGTGCAAGTAAGAGGCACTGCCCTTGACTTCAAAGCCACTTCTGTGTCCCAGGATTTCACATAGTAAGGTCAGGAATTTTTAAGAGGAAGACATGGCATGTTAAGTTTCCTAAATGTGTTTGGCCATGGTCCCTTGGTGTGGACAGGAGCACAGGGCAGTTGTGCCAGATGCCTGGGAGATGCTGGTCTTAGTTATCTGACTTGAACACAGTTTTTCTAGCATATGCATATGAATTCATTTATCGGGGTTTTTTAAACTGTAGGAAGAAGCAGCCAATCTGGGAACACAGTGAAGCAGAGGATGCCTGAAGGGTGGCAGCCAGGCCGAGAGCCTCAGAAGGAGCCAAACGCGTAAGTGATTTAACCTCCTACAGACGCAGCTTTCTAATCTACAAAATGGGTATGCTACTGTCTCCGTGCAGTGCGGTGAGGATCAGAGCGGAGGATGTCTGACCTGTTGTGGCTGTTATTATCCTCTTACTTCTTATAATGAGCAGTATGACCTTGGGCAAATTCTTAAAATCCATGTTGCCCTGTTTCTTCCTCTATAAAAAAGGAATAAATGTTCATCATAAGACAGTTAAGCTGAAATACACCTAGCCCAGTGCCTGGCATTCAGTGGCTTCTCAGTATGTGATGTGACTTTGTCCTCCAGCTCGCGCTGCCCTCACACCTGCCTCGGTCCTGGAGAAAATGCACAGACTCCAGTGCAGGAAAACCTCACGCTTCTTAATCTTTCCTTTATCTTCCATTTGGACTGATTCCTTTCTCCTGGGTTTGCCAAGCTCATCCATCCAGCCTCACACGGTGTGGCAAGGAGCCAGGGCTTGAATTTCCGTTTTTAGAGTCCACAGCACAAAGCACATGGTGACTGAAGATCCTGCCTGACACCCCTCAGAGGTGCATGGCACCTGGGGCTGCAGAGTCCCTAATGCACCGCTGCCACAGCCTGCACCCAGGTGCCAGTTACAGCTGACCTGAGCTTAGGTAGGCCCGGGGCAGGCAGAGTCCCTGCAGTGCTGCTCGGGGCAGAGCACCTATCAGCACCCAGTACAATCAAATAGTTTTCTCTTCTTGCCAAGCACAAGACTATGGATTTAGGGAACACCTCTCAGATGAGAAACAACCCTGTTTTGCTTGTGTGACCTAGACAAGGTCTTGGCCCAGGGGGGTCAGTCCCCTGAAGGAAAGCCAGGGGAAACTGGACTGTTGTTAGCTTCTTTACGACACTGTTTCTGTGCAATCCCCTACAGGGATCCGTAAACCAATCATCTGAGCAGTTTTTCCTTCTAAAGGGTTCCTATAGGGAAGAACTCCACCCTGAGATTTAATAGAAACACCTGTACTCTCTGGTGTAGCGTGGTAAATCTTATCTCCCAGTTTTGCCGCCCTAAGGAGATATTCTTCCTGTACCAACAATCCTCTTTGGTTTCAGGGTCTGAAAGAAAACCCTTTGCAAAATTCGTACAACATTATCTGGCATGTGATATGAGCCAGAG